CCAGAAATTGAACTGAATTCAAACAACTCTTGAATAATAAAATGAGAAACTATTAAAACACAATCTGCTGTGGAATGTACCTTATGTATAAAAGCTGCAATATCCCTAAAGTAACGATTAGGGACCACTCAAGAATCCCTTTGTACATTGGGCTTTTTTAACGGCCCGATACCAAAATGCTAATTATCCCTACATAGATATTCAAAAAATAACAAAATGCTGGAGAATGTAAACTGGATGTTCACTAGCAATTATTAAGGTTGTACAGACAAAACGAGACATGTGCACTTGCAAAAAATGTGTTTTGTTTTGGATTTTGCGTTATTTCGTTTTCTAATGTAATTTTGCGGCGAGTTTTGGTCGGGTTCGGACGGTCGTCGTGCGCTGGGACTTTTTTTTATTTCAGCGGGTCGTCGGGCATCGTGCATTGTGATTGACGCTGGATTACATCGATGGAGCCATTTTTTTTAATTAAAAGATTTTATCAAAAGTCTGGACTTTTTAATAACTATTTGATTTAACCCTTTAGTGAATGGGTAGGCGTACAAGGGGGGGGGCATCCGGGTGCCCCTTAAAGGGGTACCCTGATGCAAATAAGCCCCCTTGCCCGCAGACCCCCACAACCACCGGGTCAGGGTTGTGGGGACACCCTCCCAATGCCGAGGGCACGTGGCCTGGTAAGGCGCAGGGAGGGGGGCTGGGGTTCCCCCTTAAAATTCCTACCAGACCTAAAGGGCCTGGTATGGATTTTGGGGGAACCCCACGCACTTTTTTTTGTTTTAACTTGGGGGAGGGTCCCTCCTAACATTCCTACCAGACTAAAGGGTCTGGTATGAATTGGGGGGGGGACCTCACGCTTTTTTTTTTTCCTCTTCTGCAGACTAAAAAAATATATGTATTTTTTTTTTCTAATGTCATTCTGCTGCAATTAAATTTCATCCAACAAACGAAAATTCATCCAGACTACCACTAACGAATTTCGGAATCGGAAATTCGGCTTCGTTATATCTGTAATTCGGAATTCGGATACATCCGAATGTCCGGAATTGCGTCCAAATTTCGATTCGGAACTAAAGGAATCGCACAAGTCTAGACAACACCTTTAATTATTAATGACATGTTTTGTTGCTATGAGCAACAAAAATCAGTCTCATCTGGTTTTCTTTACAGCAATGTGTTCTGCCAACACTTAAGGGCTCATATTAGTTAAAGGGGATCTATGGTCAAAAACTAAAAATAAATATGTATTTCCATATTGAATGTCCATAGGTTTTATACCACTCCAATTGATTTAGATGTTTGTAAACGTACTTATTGAAGATGCCAATAGGATGTACTTGCAATAACACATTTGTCATGCCATCTGAACTACAACTTAACGTCTGAACAATTTAACATCATCATTGCTTTCTGAATGCAATGCATGATGGGATATGTAGTCTTGAGAAATCGATATTGCATCACATCAAGCAGCAGGAAAAGAGACGCAAAGTACACTGGGAATACAGGAAGTTGTTGAAAGTGATGGGCAGACAGAATACAGCACTCACTACACAATAGGGATTTTTAATGTAAGCTTTGATTGCATTATCAAAAGCATCTATAGTTGTATTTCTATTACAATGCTGTTGTTAGGATAGTAAAATAACATATGCTGTGACTTTACAACTCCTTTAACAAAGGAGAGTTTACATTCTAGGTACACGGAGTGCTAACGTTCTCAATAAACAATTCAGTACAATTGTACTGCTGATACAAGACATGGTTGTATTTGATTTATATGGATTATGATATATGAAGGTCATACCACATAACCACTTTGCGATGCAAATAATGACAGAAGCGTGTATATTTGGAAATGCTGCTGTTAAAAGAAGCTCAGCTGTGGTTTACAAAAATAACTTTAATATGAAAGGTTTTCATTTTTTTTCTACTGCATTATGGTTCCACCTTGTAAACGTCTCCAGTGGCTAACCAGCATTTAGCAGTATTGCACACTAGGGATTATTACTGGCTTGAAGTAAGGGGGAAAATAAGCATAGTTTCCTCATGAAAGTGTGCAGTCCTCCCAACGTGTAGTTTGTGGTGTCACTATGGTATCCTTTACTTGGGGCTGTGTGAGCTTACTGGCACAGAGAAGGCTTACAAAGCACACATACAGGGAGTGCATCAGCAGTTTCTGACCACAAATTTAGTCCATGATGTCAAAAGCCTCAATGTTACTGAGGAACAAATTACAGGAATAAGACAAGTCAGTTAGGAGAAGTTATTACGTTTCACATGAAATGAATGTACCAACCTTTTATAACTGAGAATTTATTTTAAACAAACAGAATTTTTTTACGGACAATTAAGTCTTTGTTCTTAAAGTATATCTAAAACCAAAATTTCTCCCATAGAATGGGTGGGGGGTTTAAAGGAGAACTATGGGGTCAGTGTTTTTCCCCATAGTTCTCCTTAGGGTAACGGGAGGACACAAACTAGCGTCCTCCCGTTACCCTAAGCTCAGTATACCGCGAACTACAGCTCGCGGTATACTGAGGCGCCGCAGCCGGAGCGGATCCCGACGTAGATGACGGGATCCGCCCAGCTGCGTGAGTGACAGCTGGCTCTGCCTATCTAGAGGCAGAGCCAGCTGTACCCACCCCGTCCCCCGTCCGTTCCCGCCAGTCAGCGCTGGCAGATCGGAGCGGGGAGAGGGGAATCCAGCCCCTCCCCCTGGCACAGCAGAGAGCCGTGACCGGATAGAGAGGTGAGCGAACCCCGTATGTGTTCGCTCACCTCCCGATCTACTGAGCCGACCTGTGACATTCTCATTGTCACAGGTCTGGTAGGACTATGAGGTGAGTGAAAAGCACTCACCTCATAGTTCTCCTTCAAAACCGCTGTTAACTTTTTTTTCCTTTTGCCATCTGTATATCAGAAAATGTTTCCAATGTGAGGGGGATCCCCTTTTAGACAACTGTCATAGGAATAAGTGTCTCCACTGAAAGACGTCTCTGCTGTTCCTCTTCTGGTGGCAATTTTGGATTTGCCCTCACTATTATTTCTGGTGAGATTGGTGACCAGGACAATAGGAAAAAGTAAATCTCCATAATGGGGACACAGGGAGCAACAAAAAGTTAACAGTGGTTTTAACACCTCACCACTCTATCCACATATCCACATATCAAAAAGCTTTGTCTTAAGTTATAATTTAAAACATTTTTTATTTTGGATTGCGTAAGGGAGTGTTATAACCTCTGGCAGGCTTTTTTATCCAATATCCATCCCATTAGGGGAATTTTAGTTAATTTCCTGTCCGATAGCCACAAAAGGAAGTGAGAGGAAATTCCTTCAAACAGAGGGAAATCCCTGGTGGTCAGCAGGGTCACCAGAATGAGTATCCCATTGGAAGATTTCCCATCTATTCCAGTTCTGATGACAACCCAAATTTGGGACTTTCTTTCACTTTCAGTGATGACAGTCACTGGGACAAATAGAGAGGGTGAATCTTCCTAATGGGGACACAAACAGCAAAAAAAAACCCTGACAGCTGCTCTAATCCCTCTCCAATCTATCCAAAACTAGAAAAAAAAAAGTTTTAACTTCAGTTGTGCTTCAAAAGGTTCCTGGCACCCCTCTCCAGAAAGCCAGTTACTGGGCAGAAAATGGTTCTGTGACAGACACAGAAAACAAAGCACATAAGCCAGGACATATTTCAGGCTTGAAAACTGTATTGTCCTAAGAAAATAAATGAATACATCTGAATAGCACAATACTCAGATATACAGCTAAGATAACATTAGCTGGTATATTCATTTTTCTAATCATGGTGGACAGACAGCAGAAGATCTAACTTGTAGAGAATTGTATCAGGAGTTCACAAACAATGATGATATAGGCCCTTTGGTATTTCCATGTTAAAAATTACTTTATAGAGAAAAAAATGTTGGTGATTTTCACTGTGGATTGTGGTATTTTGGACATTTATGCTTTCCTTGATAAAAAAAAAGCCCTAGCCAGCCTATTAATAGGGATGAAGAAATAAAATGCAAGATAGTGGCCAATCACCAACAGCCTTGCTGTGTCTGGAGTGGGTGACCAGCTCAAATCTCACATGTACATGCAGGTACTTGTCAGTGATAAGATAAAAACTGGTATAATCCAGTGCTAGACCGCACCACTGCATCCGTATCTATTAGCATAAACACAAATCATCCTCTTGGCTGAGTACACTGTATAGTGTTGGCACTACTGCAGCTTATTGGAAAGACAACCCCTTAAAGAGGAACTTTAACCATATCGTTTAAATAACAACAAACACACCTTTAGAAATGTTTAGTAATGACAATCTACAAACACATACTTATGGATAATTGCCGGCTTTTTATTATTTTCATACCTTATTTCTCTTTTCTTCCCCAGTCTTCTGACAGCGACCATTTTTTACTAAGGGCAGATTACTAGATCTCGCTTTACTTCCTGGAACTCTGGCACATGTGACTAGGACATGTGGCCATTCACAAGGGAGGAAAATGCCTTTCCCTGAGATTTCATGAGATTACAGATGATATTTCCCAGCAATGCTCTGCTGATGCAACCTTCCCAGGATGCAATGTTTTGACACATTACATAATTTGTGCCAGAAGTGGATCAGGAAGTAGATGAACTCTATGTGTAAGTAAATGAAAAAGAAGTGTGTTTACCTAATGAATGTAAGATGATTTTAAGTCAGCATGCAGATCTGCATCCTGATGTGATTTTTAGTAAAAGGGGGTAAAGGTCCACTTTAATACAAGTACTGCATTGGCCATCAATGCCAATCTTATAGTGGTCCTCCAGCCTGCATCCATACAATTTGAAAATAACAAATTACAGATTGTTTAAGGATAGCATAAAACATTGATTTTTATAACATGCTTTATTGCTGATCTTAATTTGAGCCCTTGTAGCAAATTTAATAGGTTGGTCCTACTTACCCCCAAACAAAAAATGAACACTAAAGACCGTCAACTTACCCTTACATGTCTTTCGTAGTGGTTGCTGTCATCATCAAATTCAATCACAAAGCCATTTAGAGACCAGATAAAAGTGAGGTCCAGAGAAGGATCATGAGAAGCATGGCACTGCATGGATGCATTCTCCCCAACAGTCACATCAGCATTGGATGGGGCAAGAGTGATTTTTGTGGCAGCTGGGGGAATAAAAACCACAAACAGAATCATCAAAATCCTATGGTCATATAGTACAATAATGAGAATGATTGAGTCAAAAAGAATTGTACTATTAAAATTCATAGTGGGATAAATAACACATAAGACAATAGATATGTAGTATCGATGAAAAGGTGCAAAGGCATGGATAAAATCCCAAGGACCTGTCGCTTCTAACTCCCAAGACATAAATGGGATCATCTGCAGAAACTTGAGAACACAAAACTGGAGCAAATGTCAAGCTTCTGGCCATGGCAACCAGGATTAGTGCTAGGCCAAGAATCTGACAGGTTGCTATCCTTGACTGCTTTTCCAGCTTTATTTCCTCAAGTTCGTGTAGGTCAGCCATAAAAATTGGATATAGGTAACTGAATTCATTGTCAATGTGCAATACACTTTAGAGAGTCACTGAACAACACCAGGTGAACAAGAGTATACAGTCACAAATCAGCAGGCATGCAGTTCCCCATTGCTTTAAACACCTACTACTGTTCCTTCTGCAGTATGTTCATTGGCTCGCTATATGGTACTTCTCCAATGTGTCAACGGGAGCAGTTAGCCACACCTCTGTATAAGAGGCCCAACAGTCTTTTCTAATGACATGTTTTGTCCTAACAGCACTCGAATAACAAAATCTCTCAATAGGCCCCCAAACTCTTAAGGGGCTCCTGACCTTGTCGAAATGACAACCTTTGCAATCCTTGGTGCCACACCTGTGGGAAATGGCACCTATCTACAAATACTGAAAAAAACAAATCAATTACCCTTACAGGGTTGTGTCATCTCTCAAAGAGCATACCCACCCTCAGGTTAGCAACTGTGATACCATTGTGTTTTGTTGCACTGGATGAATTAATGGTCCTGCACATCTTGTTGATTGAGGAATGGAAGACAAGATCTGACTGAAATCGCTTTTTTTTCCAGTTTTGGATAGAGTGTGGAAGTGATAGAAGAAGTCAGATTTGTATTCATGTCTGTGTCTCAGCTGGGGAAATTCACTACGTGTAGTGGTTATCGTTGTCAGTATGGACAAAAATATTTTGGGAAATCCAAAATTTTACAGTTGTCACTGCAGCATGAGTAAAATCATACAAAAACTAACAGATTTTAATCATTCACTTTCCAAGCTGATACTTTTACTAATACTGCTTAGATATACTATAATCACCTAGTTCTGCTATCACATCATGAATTCATATAGCTAACACTTATAAGAAAGCAAGCCTACCTGCACCCCAATGTATGTCTGCAGAATATTATTGTTATTGGGAATATATTGGTGCTATATAAATAAGGAGTAGTAGCAGCAGTAGTAGTAGAAGCTAGGGTAGTAGTGATAGTAATAACAAAAAAACGCAATAATAAAAAAATGTATTACCTGTAACAGATAGAATTCCGGTATTATTTGCTTTTCCTCTATCATTCTCAGCAAAACAAGTATAGCTTCCCTCATCAAGAACTGTTATATTAATGATTTCCAGGCTACCATCATCCCAGATTGATATCCTAATAAATAATGCAGTAACATGTTATGGTAAAAAGCACACGTCTACAGTGGTATCATTAGTGCATTGTGTGAGTGCTGTAAGACTTTAAACCAAACTAGCAATGTACAGGAAGTGGTGAAGCAATGCAGAAAAACAAGGAACAAATTAATTTCTGACATTGACTATGGGACAGTCATAAAGTGTTTAGATGAATTACTGCAGGTAAATAGCAGGGAGACAAAAGCAGAAGAAATAAAAAGGTTAGGGTTTAGTGGTGTGGTGGCTTTGTTGTAAAAGTTTCAAATTTGTGCTGTAAATCTTGCTTTAAGGAAAGCCGTCACACAGCAAAAACCTGAACACACTGACTAAAACTGCTATTTCCTGACTCTCTGGATGCATGATGACTCCCAATGTGATCATTTACAGCTCAATTGTATGAAGTCACATTGCAGGGAATGGCTTCCATTGCATACGTTTGTGCCAAAAGCCCTTTAGGCGTCTTGTGTAATAAACATACACACACATTCTGTTATCACGTAGGAACACTAGATGGCAGCAAAGTCTATTACATGTATCATAAAACATGAGCGGCCGATGACAAAATGAAGTCAGTGCATTTCAGAATTTCACATTTACAATAAATCAAGATATTACAGAGATGAGTCACCACTACCTGTGTGGCAGTGTGCAGTGAGGTTAATCTGTTCCCTGCTCAGTGACCTTCAACTGTGTCAAGTAACCTGATATATTATATCCACCCCATATAAATAACAACCAAGATCACACAACTATTTTGTTGGATGCAGGGTAACAATCAGCGGCGGACTGACAGCACATGGGGCCCCCGGACAATACAATATTATGGGGCCCCCTTGTGCTCCACCCATATACAAGCCCCATCCACAGCCAAAGGGCTGCTGTACGGGCTATTCACAATATTCCATAGCCCGTACAGCAGCCGAGACGAACCCATAGGCTTCAGCTTAGCTGAGTCGTATTCAGAGCCGAAGCAGGGAGAAAGGTCAGCCGAAGCCGACCGATCTCCGCAGAGATGACAGCAGTTGTAATAACAGATCAGCGTCCTCAAAGGACCAGGGGATGCTGATCTGTCATTAAACAATAACAACTGAGCGGAGCCGGCCGTGACGTCACAGCCGGCTCCACCCAGTTGTTATTTATTGGCCGGGACCTACTAGAAGACTCTGGCAGGTGCCGGTCAATAGGAAACAGGATGTGCGTCGTTTTTTTTTTCTTTAAAATATTTTAATTTTTTTTAAATGTTCCTATTTGTTTTACGTTTTTTAAACAATTTTTCTACATTTTTTTCTCTCATTTATTTAACTTTTTTTTTCTATTCTGCTCGCTACCATGGAGGTACTGAGCAGAATAGCCGAGCCAAATGCAGTTCGCGGCATATGCCTATTTACTTACTGCCGTTCGGCCCCTATGAGAATAGGTGTGAACGGCAGTGAGTGAGCTGCCGGAGCTTCGGCTTAGCCGATCCAGATGTTGGATCGGCTGAGTCGAACTCCTCCTGCACTTCGGATCAGCCCAACATACAGAGCATGTTCGGCTGACCGAAGGCAGCCGATGTACGGCTGATTTTAGCCCATGTACGGCTGAAATCAACCTTATAAGGCTGAAGTGAATAGCCAAACAGTGTTCAGCTCACTTCACTTCGGCTCCCTTATTCACTCGGTGAATAACCCCCATAGCGTTTGCGCACGGGCGCAAACGCTATATGTGAAACAACTGCACGGATACCGCTCGTTTGCAGCCAGGGCCGTCTTTAAATTTAACTGGACCCTGGAAAAACATTTTCTTGGGCCCCCCCACGCGCCCCCTTCACCCTGTTAAACATCATATGGTCACAATATGCACTGTACAGCAGGGCCAGTGCAAGGATTTTGGCCTACACCGTTGACAAAAAAACATCTTTACTTGTTGCACTCCTTACCTAAAGTCCCTTGTAATGTAATTTAGGATAGCCAAATGTTTGTTTATTTACAGTTCCTTGTCAGAAAAACGCTTTTGGGACTGTGCAGGGTTCCTTCATCAGGCGCTTGTTTTTCTGACAAGGAATGGCAAATAAATGAACATTTTGCTATCCTAAAAGGATTTGATGTGCTGGTGACATTTCTATAAAGTGCATTTTGTGCCCCCTACTATATGTTACATGTTCCCATTCATATAGCACACCCAATTCACATTTTTCCTAATTATAATAAAAAATAAAACCCGTAGTGGTGATTAAATACCACCAAAAGAAATCCCTATCTGTCCCCAAAAAATGGTATAAAATTCATGTCAGTACAGCGTTGCATGACGGAATAAACGTCAGTCAAAGTATCGCAGCGCTGAATACTGAAAAATGGCCTGGCCAGGAAGGGGGTCTAAACACCTGGTCTTGAAGTGGTTAAAAAGTATTTCTTACTTTTCTATTTTTTTTAGCAGATTACACACAGGACTCTACAGGCAGCTTCCATCACATCAAAGGGCTTGTTTACACCTAATCCAGTGTATTCCAGCACGGTTGGTAGCTGGAATGCACTGTATCACATAATAAAATGTTCCCTGTGTTCTGGGGCAGGAGGGGGCCTAGAGATACATTCAAGTCAATGGCACCACATCCACGTCTCCTGCCTTGCAGTGCATTTAACTGCACCAGAACACATGGCACAACAATGCCCATGGTGCAGTGCAGTCGCAAAAAATAGGAGAATTATATTATGCGATCTATTGCATTCCAGCTACTAACCATGCAAAGTGAGAGACAGTAATATGCAATGCACCAGCCAAACCTGAGATCACTAACCCTTTGTTAAGACAGTCCTGTACATCTGATCATGAGCCAGTACACACAGGGTTAATTATAGTGACCATTACTTCCAGCCCCGTCCTTAACATTACATTCAATTGTCGAAATATAAGAATATCCAGCAAGTAAAAAGGTGAACAGCAATGTTTGTTTAAACGGTTATGTTGTGTTAGGAACATTTAACACATATGAAATAGGATTCTATTCCAATCTGGCTGCAAAAAAGTGCAAATTAACTTTAGTCTTTGCCCCATGAATATTCACAGACTGTGACAGAGCTGGAAGAAAGTGATGACAGGGGGGGACGTGGAACGCAGCTCCATGCTGGGACTGTCACCCTCTGTCTGCAGCAGCAAAGCTTCCCTCAGTCCATGCAGGGACCGTCACTCTCTCTTAGGAACACTCAATCCTCTCTGACTATAATATTACCTCCTAGCTGGCTCCGGGCAAAAGCTGAGGCTCTTCTTATCATCAGCACTAACTTCCTGTCAGAGGCATACGAGGAAAACACAGCCCAAGACGTCTGAAGAGCTGAGGACATCGTTCTTGTGACAGTGCCCCATCCACCGGCTACACAGTCACAGCTTATTAACACTTTGCTGCCGAGCTCTGCTCCTGCTCCCCCACACCTCCTGAGTTACAGTCAGAGCTGGGTTTGCACTCTGACATTACAAGTGGTCAAGGGGCAGCTGCTTTGGGCCCCACAGCAATGACTGGACCCTGGGCAAATGCCCTTTTTGCCTTGCCTTAAAGACGGCCCTGTTTGCAGCTATTATATAGCTACGAACGTGCAGAATCCGCTGGATTATCGCGCTTGCACTATTTTGAGGACTGTGCGGTTTCCCACAATAGTCTGATAAAGCACATAAAAGTGCATTGTTTTTTCTGTTTAGAGCGGCTCCGCATGTATTCGGACAGCCGCTCCAGTGTGAATGGATCTTTAACCCGCGCGACCCCAAAATACTGCAAGCGCGATAATCCAGCGGATTCCGCACATTCACGACTATATAATGGCCGCAAACTAGCGGAATCAATGCAGTTCACATATAGCGTTTGCGTCCCGTGCGGGCTCCCACATGAAAAACCGCACAGGAAGCGCAAATGCTGTATGTGAATGGAGACTAAAAGGTTAACAGTTTACAGCTAAAAAAAAAAAAGTCATTAAAATCACTTACCAGCATCAGGGCTCCCGATCCCCAGGTTCCAGTCGGGGTTTTCGTAGAACTGCTCTAGTGGGGGGCCCAGGGCCAGATCTCAGTGGGGCCCCCCCAGCATGAGGCTCTCGTGCCTCCGTCCGCCTGCGGCATGCCCCCACCTCGGAGCTCTTCTCGGCCGCACCACTGTAGGAGATGCGGCTCTGCTAAAGCGGCAACGGCAGTGTATAGTGGGCCCGGGAGGCGGGCGACACTGCCGTTGCCGCTTTAATAAACCCGCGTCCTCTTCCATGCGGGCTGAAAAGGGCACGGGGGTCGGTGACGGGCCCCCTCTTTGGCCGCGGGCTCTCGGGCAATGCCCGACTGCCAGTATGGTCAGTCCGCCCCTGGTAACAATGAACCCAATTTTACCCTGGCCTAACAAACCAATGTTCACTTGAAATGTTTATGTCTTATGATGTTATGTTTCCTTCTTCATTGTTTTCTTTCTAGTGAATGTTAATGGAACAATCAAAATAAGCCATGTAACCATGACCTTTCTATTCAATTCCCTGACACAAAATGAGCATCTGACATTCCAACTTTAAATATTACACATCCCAGCAAGCGTGAACCTAAGTTCAAAAGGTTTGGATAATGTTACAAAGCGGGGAAAGTTTATCTTTGTAAATAGTGGTTGCCATTCTGCTGATGTTTGGACAGGGATCTGAAGCAGCCCCCTAATGACCAATGTTTCTTTGTATGTTTCTTACATTTTTCCATTGCTGACGTTCTGCAAAAAGGCAATAATTCAACCCACCTCTGCCATTTCCTTTACATTTTTAAGTTGAGGTATGTGAGATAACTTGTAGAAGGAATGTATTTAATATAGCAATGACTCCCAGTAATCAATCAGACCTTAGTTTATAGGAAAATATAAATTTTGATGTAGGCTGTAGACTATTGCATATACAGTACTAATCATACAGATGAGGACTGGGAATCTTTTGTCCTGGGAGACAACCAGCTGGTCATTTCATGGTAAAGACAGTTTATTGGTGGATCAAGAAAAAATTGCCCAACACAAATTGTGCCACAGCACCACAGTAATTAGTGAGGATGGTGTGTTGTCTAAGGCCTGGTTCATACCTGAGAGTTTTTACGTGCAGATATAGTTGCACGAAAAAGCGCAAAACACACATTTCCATGCAAGTCAATGATAACTGTTCACACCTTAGCATTGTGTCACAATCAAAAAATGCCTGTCGCGCGAAAAGGTTAAGGTCAGGACTCTGTGCAGGCCAGTCAAGTTCCTCCACCCCAAACTCACTCATCCATGTCTTTATGGACCTTGCTTTGTGCACAGGCGCGCAGTCATGTTGGAACAGGAAGGGGCCATCCCCAAACTGTTCCTACAAAGTTGGGAGCATTAAATTGTCCAAAAGGTCTTTGCATGCTGATGCCTTAAGAGTTCCCTTCACTGGAACTAAGGGGCCAAGCTCAACCCCTGAAAAACAACGCCCTCCACCAAACTTTACACTTGGCACAATGCAGTCAGGCAAGTACTGTTCTCCTGGCAACCGCCAAACCTAGACACGTCCATCGGATTGCCGGAGAAGCGTGATTCGTTACTCCAGAGAACACGTCATAATTTCTCTAGAGTCCAGTGGTGGCGTGCTTCACACCACTGCATACGACGCTTTGCAATGCACTTGGTCATGGCACTGTTGTTGGGCCAATCTGAAGGCCACACGAAGTTTGGAGGTCGGTAGCTGTTGACTCTGCAGACAGCTGGCAACTTCTGCACACTGTGCTGACCCCGCTCTGTCATTTTATGTGGCCTACCACTTCGTGGCTGAGTTGCTGTTGTTCCCAGTTGCTTTCACTTTGTTATAATACCACTAACAGTTGACAGCGGAATAGTTAGTAGCAAGGAAATTTAACGGATGGACTTATTGCTCAGGTGGCAACCTATCACAGTACCACGCTTTAATTCACTGAGCTCCTGAGAGCGACCCATTCTTTCACAAATGTTTGTAGAAGCAGTCTGCATGCCTAGGTGCTTGATTTTATACACCATGGAGATAATGAGCACAAGGGTGGCAGCACTGCAGAGGGAAGATCAGCCTGCAGCAGAGCATTGCCACCAGGAATGAGGAAGCACAAGGAATTGGCAGGATCTAGCATTTACTAGTTACTGTAATGGTTTTACAGGGGAAAAAAAGGACACATACGAACACACAATTTTATTTCGAAACCTCTAATGAAGTGTTTTTTTTTTTTTTAAATGGGTTTAGTAACACTTTACACTTGCAACTGACTGATCGCTATTAGGGAATATATACAGTGCTTAAGACACACAAGTGGAAAACAAAGTGGTTTTTGTCAATGCTGCAGTAACTGGTCACGCTACAGATGGGCGCACAAAGACCGCCTCAGGTATATTACCTAAACCTATCGGCATCTTCAGATGATAATTAGCTTTTCCTGTCGCTTAGAGGCCTAGATATGTGGTAAAAGCAATTATGGAGCTGTTAGATTTTGATTGGAGTATAAATATGTGTCTTGTAAAATATAATTGTATACTGCTGTGGTTATTGTACAACTATTCTTATGGGTTCATTTATAGAAGTGAAAAGCCAGGTGTATTCCCTTCGCATGGCACTAGCATCCTTAGATGGTGGTGATGAGTATAGGAATTTCCTATACCCCCTAGTGTCTTCTGGCTGGAATTCTGTCCAGCTGCCAGAATTTTACCATACAAAATATATTTGCATGTATGCAACCTTGTCTGTTAACATTTGGGCTGTCTGGTGTTTAGTTCAAGCAGCGTGATCTTATGGTTTATGGATACCTCTAACATTTGAGAAATAGTGAACTAATGGATAAAGCAAAGAACAATGATGATGTGCACAATTAACATCTATATAAGCTATTGAGCTTCCAGTTAAGGTGGAACAAAGACCAAAACTTTTATTTTACATTGGATAGAGTAGAGGAGGGTTATAACAGTTGTCAGTTTTTTTTTCTGTCATCTGTGCCCCATTAGGGATATTTTCATGTGTTTCTTTTCTGCTAGATATACCAGGAAGTGAGAGGAAAGCCTTCCTCTCACTAGTTCTGGTGAGGGTCACCAGAACAAGTGACTCCATTGGAAGATTTCCCATCTGTTCCTATTCTGGTGACAGCTCAAATTTTGGGTTTTACTTTCACTTTCACCAGGACAAATAAGGAGGATGAATCTCCCTAATAGGAAACAGGCAGCAATAATAACCTGGCAGATGTTGTAATCCTCTCCAAAACTACAAAAAAAAGATTTGGCTTTAGTTCTACTTTAAAACACCTTTCATGAAAAAGAAATGCAATGTTGTGAGAAGTTTTCAGCACAAACCTGCTATTGTTTTTGAGCAGTTCTGTTCCTTTACTCCATGAAAATTTAGGCTTTGGAGCAGCCTTTGGTTTACATTCAATAATGACACGACCACCTTTTGCAGCTAAAATCTTCTTTTTCATAGGATTAAATTCAAATGTTGGTGCTAAAGCTAAAGAAGAGGCAAACAAAACAATAAAGACAGTTAGTAAAAGGTGTCCCTAAATAGATTTGCAAACTGTGCTATAAACAAGTTCAAATTATTGTAAAAACAAAAATAGTGTCACTGACCAAGGATCTTCAGTTCAGCATTTGCTTGAATAACTCCATAGTGATTTTCTGCTATACACTGGAACATTCCGGCATGGAACATGGTTAGGCCTCGGATTTTCAGTTCACCTTTACCATACTGAAAAAAAAATATTGACCTATCTTACAAAATTCGTAATTCTAGTATAACATGACTTTAGGCAGACACTCACACCAACCAAGCTTAACCACTTGAAGACCGGGGTGTTAAACCCCCTTCCTGTCCAGGCCATTTTTCAGTATTCAGCGCTGCAGTACTTTGACTGACATTTATTCAGTAATGCAACGCTGTACTGAAACAAATTTTATATTTATATATATTATATTGATGGCCATAGACAACGCTTTACACATGTTTACCGTTTTTTTTTTACACTTAACTTTATTGCTATCACATAGGGGGACTAAGAAATCCCCTATGTTATAGCCAATTCACATAACAGGTCTTCTTTATGGAGACATGTCATCTAGGGACCCCCAGAGAAGCTGATGAAGCAGAGATCTGCTTCCCCAGCTTCTCACCGACATCTGTTGCCGGAGAGTGACACTGAATGCGAAAGTTATGTAATATACATCACTTCCTGCATTCGGGGACTGGAGAGGAGATCAAAGGGAGATCGTGTACAGATCTCCAGTAACAGAGTCCCAGCCGCACCAGGCACAGCGAATCTCGGGAATGGCAGCGGCAACGGGGGGGGCACACCCGCAGCTACTACAAGTGATCGGGCGGCCGATCGCTTGAATGTAAAAAGCCATCACTGGTTGTTTACATTTCTGACAGTTAAACCACTCGTGTGCGTGCTGAGCGCCGCACACGAGCAGGGGGAAGGGCAGGACGTCTTAAGACGCCCTCCCACTCCTATGAGGCTCCCGTCCGGCCGTTCAAGAATGGCCAATGGATGGGAGGTGGTTAAAGGAAAAACATTTTTTTTAGAAAACTGAGAAGTAATAAAGTAGACTACATTTCAGCAGCCATTTTCCACTTTCTAGTTCAGTTTGGCAGCGGGTTTGATTTACTAAAGGCAAATAGACTGTTCACTCTGCAAGGGAATTAGCACTTTTGCATTAGTGATTGAGGTGAAGCTCTGTTGACTTCCATTATCCAATCATGTTCAAGCAAAAAAAATATGTGTTTTTATTTTCCTTGCACATGATTGTGTATTCTTTGCAAAGTGAATTGTCACCACATTTATTAAGGTAAGGAAAAATTACCTTGCAAAGTGCAAATTTCCTTTCAAAATGAACAACAGCCTATCTGCGTTTAGTAAATCAACCACAACATGTCAAGAAAGGTACAGTCCAAATGTTTAATAGCTGCAAACAAAGCTGGTTTCACTTCTCCCCAGGGAATATATATATTGACCACAGATATTAGTGGCTGCACCATTGCAGGTACCTTATAAATAATATGAAGCCACTCGTCTGTGAAGGCTTGACAAAGGAAGAGTACCTCCAATACTTGTTGCCTAGTAACCAGGGCCGGATTTCCCACAAGGCCAACTGAGATCCGGACTCGGGGTAGCAGGGGTGCGGAATTCCTATGTCCCAACGCCCAGGCCATGCAGTTCTGGGCGCCGGGCGGGTAGTTGTTCTTTACATTTAGCCCTGCTTTGTGCAAGCAGGGCTAAATATACATCGGGGAAGCTGCCACTTGTTTTGTACAAGTGATCTCGGCAATGGCGCCAAGATCACTTGTATGCAGCCTGCATACAGGGGGGTGCATTGAGGCAGCAGAGAGAGTAAATCCGGCCCTGCCAGTAACCTCAGCTGCCACCCCTCATCCCAGAAGAACCTTGTTGCTTCATGATGAGGAGAGAGGATGCTGCAGCTTTACCGTGCTCTGCTGTTCCCAGGCAGTTTCCACAGACCTGCATGATCCATCCAGCCAGACAGTTTGGCATCTCTCTCTACCTCCTTTCACACACGGCTCCAATGCTGGACAAGGGGAGCTGTTCAGAGTGCACCTGGCTATGTGCCACGCTGATGATTTTAGCTGCTCATTTACGTGCATGTATTTTTTTCTCCTATTTAAGAATTTACCTTTCTGCTACACTTTGGTCCTTTGCACCTTGCTCTTTTTTGTTGGTGTTTTTGTTGGATTTTTGCCTGTCCATCTTGGGGCTGCAGGACCTGAGTACAATTAATTGATAGGTTCTTATGAACTATTTAGACCAGCGGACCTATGGGCTCAAGGTTGTGAATTTTTGTGTTGTTTTCTTGGGTATATGCAGCTAAAGCTTTGTGTTTTATATTCACAATGACTGTACATTTCATTATATTGTGGCTCCAATTTAGTTTATAGCAATATTTTTATCATTGAAATTTTAATAATCTGAAGGGATAAAGTTAGTTTAATATCAGCAGTAGTGTTTTGTATCTAGTTAGAGTGCCTTATTAAGTTGTAAAAAGTTTCAAGAAAGATTCCTGGAAATCATGTGAATTCCAGAAAACTTCAATTTCATATGCATCAATGTTTATCTGTGATTGGTTAATGTTGAATCACCGCCCAATGCTTACTCTGTATAACTGTTCAATTTGTACTCAATAAACTTGATACAGGGCTGATACCACACACCTTTGTGTCTGGGTTGATTATTCTGAGCTTGAGAGTGTACCGATTCAGCGGAAGAAAAGTAGGAAGTCCGTGGCAGATTTGACCCTGGGGTTATCACTAGAGGTGCACCCAAATTAAAATTTCAAACCCGAAACGAAAACGAAATGTAAAACAATGTCAGGCCGAAACTGGAACTGTTTTTTATTTAAACGTTTTACATTTTTAAAATATTTTATTTTAATTTATTTTTAATAAGCTTATAATTTTTTTATTCATTTTTATGAAATATTTTTATTTTGTACTTTACTTTTAAAGGCTTTGGGGAAATATTGGGGGTCTAAACAGAACCCCTGATATTTCCCTTTTAAAATAGAAAAAGAGATTGAGGACACAGAGTTCGCAATCTCTTTTTCTGCCGCCCGTTATAAAAGAAACAGGAATCCTCTATACTGAGTGTTCCTGTTCATTTATAACATGAGGACAGAGTACGTTTACTATAACCACAATTATGAATGAACAGGAGGTGATGTAGAGCACTTCCCATTCATTCATAATTGAGGATACAGTAAATATACCATGTCCTCAATTGTTTACAAACACTTAGCGATCACTGATCGCTGAGTGTTTATACCTCACTCTCCTTCCTATGTTAGTAAGCGAGAGGAGCTCCTGTCACAGATCGGCAGAGCGGTCTGTGGCCAGAGACAGCCAGCGCTGTCACAGTAGGCTGAGTGCTACGGGGAGGAGAGACGCCGGCCGCTCACAGTGCTCTCCTACCGCAGCGCTTGGTCACCTGTGACAGTTTCTCTCCTCCCCGCTGGGACACAGAGCAGCGCCCAGGGGGGAGGAGAGAACAGGATGCACCACTATATTGTCAAGAAAATGGCACTTTCGGCATTTTGCCAAAAGTGTAATTTTTGGCTGATATATTGGTGCATCCCTGGTTATCACAAAGTAAACCATCAGTTACCTTCTTGGTCCTCATGTGCAATATGTTCTCTGCTTTATTGTAAACCTTCTTGCAGATGTGACTTGTAAGTGTTTCTCCATGTACTATGAATAGGCTGGTTGATATTATCAATTGGGGCTGTATGGGCACAGGGCTGAATTATGTTGCTTTCCCATTTCCAAGGGAAAAGGGCATACAAGGGAGTTGCCATTTATATATCTAAGCATATAACATGTTTCAAATTTCTCTTTACTCCATACTATTCAAAATATTCTTGTATTATCATAAGGCTACTTGAAGTTACTTAAAATAAGCTAAAAATAATATATAAAATGATGTAGTAATTATCATACCAGTTCTCCTGATAAATCTAATTGAAGCACTTACCGCGTCCCCATTTTTCAACCATCTAATTGTTGGAATTGGCTTCCCCTTGGCAATACAGGGCCAGTGCAAGTCACTACCTATATCCCTTTCTGTATCATTTATATGTTCCACCCACTCTGGTGCAGCTGAAAAACAAAAATAAAAATATACAAATTTATGCATTGCAAATATAGAGCTGTACCAAATGTAAAATAAATATATAAGCGCAGATTCATCACATAAATTACTTTTCTATTTTTTTTAGTTTCACTTTTCAAGCACATGTCAACTCAATCACTAAAACTCATACAAGCTTTAACATGTTAATGTAATTTTAAAAGTCATTTTCAACATTTTTAAATCTGCTGATTTGAAAACTAACTCCTGGTGATCCTGTTATAAGGGTCCTTATTCTAGCACTTCCAGTTATGGAGTAACAACTTCCTACTCAAGAACTCTTGAGTTGTCATCCTGTCCTACAGGCTTCCAATGGTGGCTACAAATGGCTGCTTTAACATTACACAGATACAGCCCTAAAAAATGCCATTGCTGGAGTACATGCAGACAGAAAGTGACTGTTAAAAGGCTGTAGGAATTCAGTAGCACTAAAATGGAACACAGGAATAAAATGGATAATGCAACTACTTTACTATTCAGAGTCTATTGCTAGCTAATGTCCACTGTATTGGATTTTTCCATGGTAATATGAAATCAGATCAGTGCAGTAAAATGCATTGCTCATTCCTCTAAACAAATTGTTTATTTCACTAACATCTAGAGCTGCAGCTTCACATTTTACAAGTAGAACCACCTGCAAGTAAATTCTGCTATTACTATCTGGTAACTCAGATACAATAAAATGTATGCCTAAACTGCAGTGCGTAAGGCAAATTGTAAAAAACACACAGAATAAATTCTTGTTGATGCTTATAAGAGAGATGGGTCAGAAGCAGCAGGCCAACATAAATTTATCCTGGAAAATCCCTTTAATATGTCATTAGTAAATTATCTTAAGCAGGGCTGTAATTCTACTGCATAGCCTATGATCCCAATCTGCTTGGTTTTATGAATGGATCCTTTAACAAGTGTAAATGGCTTCACTCAGTTATGAGAGTTTTGCATTGTAGCTGGAAGGTGTTTGACTCAAGGAATGACCATACATATAGTGTTAAAATGCAAAACTAATAAACAAAATTCACAGTAGAGGGATAACAGTAATAGGCCTAGTACTTTGTTTTTCTTAAACTCCACCTTTAACCCCTTGCCACTGGCCCTTTAGGAGGTTCTTAAAGCTGGGAGGTTGGAGGCAGACTTCTCGATGATATGATCACTGTGATAGGCTATCACAGTGATTATGTGATTGGGAGCCAGTCCTCAGCTCCCAATTGTTAACAGTGACTTGAAGCTGTCAGTGTGGTCGCTGTGCTGGGGGTGCTGTGGAAGCATGCTGCCAGCACAACACAGCAGTGCAAGCTGTACATATCTATTTTTTAGAGCAGACCATTGCTGCCACATACAGTATATGTGTGCAACTGGTGGCGATTGAATAAAGCCCAACTCTGGGCATTTTTTAAAAGTATAACTAATGGAAATATTTTTTTAAGATTTGGATAGAGTGGTGAGGTGTATTGGGTAGAGTATCAGGTTTTTTTTATTGCTGTCTGTGTTCCCATTTGGGAGATGCATTCTCGCTGACTGTCCTGATCACCAATGTCACAGGGAATGCAAGTGAGAGTAAATCCAAAATTCTGAGACCAGGAAAAGAGGTGAACTCCAATAGGGACACGTGTTCCCATGACAACTGACTAACAGGGGATTTCCTTCACATTGGAAAGATAACTTCTCACTCCTCACCGAGTCTGCAGAACGGGAAGTGAAGGGAAATGTCCCTAATGAGACACATATAGCAAAAATAATGACAGTGGTTATAACCCCTCCTCACTCTATCCATAAAGAAAAAAAAGTTTGGCTTTTGAGATACTTTAAATGGTGCCCCAGAGGTGTAAAAACGTTTTGTTTTTTTAACGAAGCTTGGGTTGCAATACTCACCTCTTTTCACCCCATCCCTGCTACTAGATGTCCTCTGTCTTCCAGGTTGAATGACACCAAGCATTATTTAACCCGCTTCCTGTGGGTGCAGAGTGTCATAGACCCACCCCTTAAGAGGGCATCACTATGGGGTCTATTCACGAAGCTGCCGAGGGCAGCCGAGTGAATGACTGCATATGCGTTCGGCTCGGCTGAGCCGCTCAGCCATGATCGGGAGCTGTACGGGCTATTGTGAATAGCCCGTACAGCACCCCTTCGGTTCTACTGAACCGAAGGGGTCCTGGGGCCGAAGTTAGCCGAAGGATTGGCCGAAGCTACGGCCAGATCCTTCGGCAGCTTCGTGAATAGACCCCTATGTCACCTTGCAGTCACTATGATGCAGAGAGCAGCATCTTTACATCAGTGTGGCCCTCTGCACGATGACCACCAACCATCACTGGAGAATAGGCAAAAAGGAGGAGGGCCCTGCATGCCATGTGAAATAATGAAATAATGAGGCTGCAATTGCTTGTTCCCTGGTTGACATGCTGAGCCACTGGCCATAGTACCTTCTGAGTCCCTGACCCAGAATAAGTATGCAGATCAAGAAATGCAGCGTAAAGTCAGAAATCTTTTTCTGCATACATGTAGGGCAGTGACTCAGTAGAGTTAATTTACTAAAGGAGTAGAGAATGTTCAGTTATACAATCATCTACTAGCAAAAATCCTGGTTTTGAAATTTCCCTTGCACATAATTAACTATCAAAAACGAAGATAGCTTCCCCCCTATTCACTATGCTGAGCAAACATTCTTTGCTTGTTAAGTGAATCACCCAAAATTCCTAAGTCAATGGGTTAGTACGAAAGCCAAGCAACTAGCAAGTTCAGAAAGTAGTCAGCAATTGCAGCTTACATGTTTGCCACAGTACAGGTTTTTCTTATATATTAAAACCTTAAAAGTAAATACTGAACTTTCCAAGTGCATGTGCTGCTGAACTCTGATGACTGGTCCCCTGAAGTACGCTGGGAAACCAACACTTGCAGGCGTGTCATTTTCCTGGGTTCCCCGCAGTTCTCTATAGTTCATCTCTTTCTTTTCTTTTTTGTATGTACACCTTTTTCTGGTGTCTTCAGCATCATTACGTGACATGTGTTCACCTCTTCTCTGGTGTTGGGTGGTCCTTGATGATGCAGAGGCCAACGCAGATGTAATAAAATAATGAGAGCAATCTACATCATACACTGTGAGTGCACTCACAGGATGTCTTTATTCATTCAACCTGGAAGACTGTGGACATTAAATGGTGTAAAGGACTTGCTGCAGAGGACAGTGTCGGAGAGCAGGTGAGTACGGCAGCAAGAGCTGAATTTATCATTTCCATTTTCCTGGAGGACCATTTAAAGAAATAATTAACCTAGGAGTTGGGCATTAACCCTTTCCAATACATACTCTGACAAATGTCACTGTTCAGTTATCCTTTTACCTGTGTTTATGAAATCATTTTCTGAAAAAAAGTAAGGAAAGGTAAACGTTTCTTACCTTGTACATGCACATATGCCCTGTGTGTATCTTTCCCCTTAATGTTCTCAGCCTCACACTCATAGGTACCTTCATCTTCTGGCTGGATGTTAAAAATTTTAAGCATAGCACCCGACTGACTAATTTCAGCTGTGGCAGGCATTTGTTCATTCAGCTTACGCCATCTAATTACAGGTACAGGGCTAAAAAGGCAAAAGTATAAAAGTGTTTGTGGGGGAAACAAAAGTATCCCTTTTACTACAATATCATCCCCTAAGAACTTCTGAGTGGCAACCTAAACACATTTGCCATGAACACTGAAATACAGGAATTGCACATAAAACTCACACTAAAATGGTAGTTTACATTGCAGAACATTGACATATAAATAGTCACAAAATTGTAAAAGGCATTGCAGAGACCTAACAAAAATATTTTGTCTTTAAAAATGAAAAATTTAGATTCCTTAGTATACTACTTTGGAAATAAATGTAAAGGGGAACTGCTGTCAAAATGTTTTTCTACTTCTAGACATAGTGGGAAAGTATCTTAACCTTTATTTCTGCATCCCCTGGTGTTAACCCTTCCACATTACTAAATAAGTGTTCTTTTCTCTCTTGTCTTTGCATCCCTTATTCCTTTTGCTTCCTGTTCTGGTGACCACGAGAAACTGAAGGTAAACCTTCCCTGTGGAAGTGCAGGCAGCAACTGAATCCTGAAGGACATTTCTAAACCTTTTGTTTGGAGTTTTCAACAAAACACACAGATGGAATTATGTTAAATTATTTCCATAAAAAGGGCTACCTACAGCTACACTGTTACATCATTAGAGATTTGTAATTTTTGAACATTTACAAATTCACTGTGCTAATGTAGTACTTACTTTCCCAAAGCAAAACACTCCAGTGTCACATTTTGTTCTTTCAGGGCATAAATATCAGTGAATCCAATTTGAATATCTGCGGCATAGCGCTTTGCAGCTACAATACAAAGAAAAGAAATAATAATAAATATAATATCTGACATTCATTTACAAAACAAAAGCAGTGTTCATCTTCTGTTTCCCCACTGTGCTCAAAAGGTTCCTTCCGCCTGGTGATTCTGATTTTACAGACCTTGTGAGGGCATTTCATGTTATGTGGTGACAATCATCTGACGTGGTCTCGCAGTTAGTCTCCTGCAGTGGCACCCTGTCACATGCTCTCCCAAAGGAGACTACAAGTGGCCATGCCAACACACATTGCATAAGCAGGTACCACTGTTGCCACAATCAGAAAATGGTGCCCTGAGAAAGAATGTGCAGCAGCTGCTAAGTACATGCATATAAACTGAAAGTGGTTTAAAGAAGCTGCAGCAGAACTGCAACACTAATATTCAACAAAAAGGAAGAAAACAAGGTGAACAGCTTTTATTTTATTTTTTAAATGGCAATTGTTTAGGATGCAGAATGATTTAGAAAACTAAATGTCATTCAGATAGCATTTACATCTATTTTAATACAAAAAGGTCTTATTTATTAAGGCAGTGTAAAGTGCAAAGACCATGTTCAGTAACCCATGACAACCAGTTTAGTTACACTTTACTGTGGTCAATAAGAAAAAGATGAAATCTAGTTGCTATGCACAGGCACCTTCTAAATGTACATATTGCTCTATATCTGTAAAAAATAAGTCAAGGCAACTGGACTTGCTGTATTTTTCTTGAAGACGTTTCACTGGTCTTGGATTTTCATTTTGTTTCATAACGTTTCATATTGCTCTATGGATTTCAATATTTAAAAAGGCAATTTCTCTTATGCTATCTAGATTTGATATTTGATTTTGACAATCAGAACAAGTAAATGTTTATACATTTATAAATTTTTATTATAAAGACAATTATATATATGACTTATTCCCATAAGTTATAGAGTGGGATACTTACTTTCTGCCTGGGGTAAAAGTGAAATATATTTGCTAAAGACACTTTTTGTAATTGAAGGACTGGATACAAAACAGGAGTAATTTCCCCTATCAGACTGTTCTACTTTCGCAATATACAAATTTCCATTTGCCTGGCTAACAAATCTGCGTTTGTCCACATTAATAAAATTTGGAAATTCATTTAGGATCCATCTGTAATTAAGGTCATCTGTGTAGGAAGGAAAGAAAAATAAAGTATGTTAAAAGACAACAGCAGACTGCAAAGAGATGTTTGGCTTTATGAACAGAGTATTATACACAAAACAAAATGTTTGTGTTTATATATATACTATATACTGTACATAATATATATCTATATATTTATATACACACAGTATATACATAAGGATATAAGGAATATGTAGTGACACATGCTAGTTTAACAATCGTTTAAACCTTTCATGTATATCAAAAAAAACAAGTGTTATAAGCAGTGTACGGTGCTGATTGTCCTAAGAAAAGCACAGGCCCTTGGAGGGCTACATTTTTTGTATATATTTTATAGTAAAAAAATAACATGGCTATTGTGTGGCCATGCTGATACCAGCTGGCATGTTCTTTAATGCTGAGGTGTGGTCTTTAGAGTGGTCCCCCAAAAGAGAGGCACTTATTGCAAAGTATCTCATGTTAGAGGACACTGGGTTCTTTGGTGCATGCTTGTCCTAGGGTGGGTGGGATGATATGCAACCCCCTTGCCACTCTCTGGAGAGGTGGCAAGTAGGTTGTGACCCTCTTCCAAGTTGACTACTAAAAGATCTAAAGCAGGGGTAGGCAAACTCCAGCTGTAGTGCAACTGCAAATCCCATTAGGCATTGCAAGACTCTGACAGCTACGAGCACGACTCCCAGAAGCAGATGCAAGATGGGCTTTCACCCCAGCTGGAGGGCTAGAGTTTGCCTTCCCCTGGTCTAAAGAATCCCTTACTGGTTCATCTTTTTCGCAAAAAAAACAGACAAACAGACTCACAACCTTATTTTATATTTAAATGGCCCTTGGTTAGGGTAAATACCCATAATCTTCTTTTTCCTATATTAGACCTTTCTTTGTTATCTTGTTCAGAACAGGCACATAATGTAGATATGGGGCCCAAAGACTTCTTTACCAGTTTACCATGGAGGAAATTACAACCAAGCAGGCTGCACATAAATTACCCCATGGCAGCATGGCAACTTCAAAGTACCAGTCAACAAAAGTCAATAGTAGTTTAACAGGAGTACCCCTGATCGGAAGACATTTCTCAAATTCAATCCACTGCCCCCCAGGTGCTAAAGGGTATTGGCATGGTATATGTTTCCAGCTCGCCAAACATGGGGATAACTGTCTGTATTCCTAGTGTACCATTCTGCTATTCCTTGTGCGTGTTTGTGAAAGAGGCATTGTTTCACAAACTCATACAAAATTTTAAAGTACTGTTTCAAATGTAAAACTGTAACTGTAATCAAGAGAATCTGGGACCAATTAATAAATAAAGTTGTACTATACTATGCCTAACAAGTATTTTAGCTATTCATAAATACAAAACTAGGTAAGCATTCACACTGTGCCATTAGTCAGGGGAGAAACTGAATTAGGTATTTCTCATATAAAGGATTCACCTTACTTTTATGTTGCGACTCTACTTACTAAAACTCTGCACAACCTTTCTGACTGCCAACCTTTAATAACAGTTTGCCGTCTTCAAAGAGTCTCAAAGAAGAGACTTCCAATTCTCTGAAGTAAGGAAAAAGTTCCTTTCACTATCATTCTGCTAAAATCTGTACAAAAGCAATATCTGCCTACATCAGATACCGGATTCCAAGTCTTTTAAAAAATAAGTTTCATATGATAATTTCCCTTAAAAACAGATTTATAGAAAATCTGTTTTTAAGGGAAATTATCATTTTTATTCAGATGAAAAGCAAAATGCCTAAAGACTATATAGACCAGCATTTCCCAACCCCTTTTTACGATCCCAACACCTTTTAAAAGTATGCAAAATCTTCAGTCTGAAATGTAATTTTTTTTCATTTTTACATTTATGTTTTTTATATGTGGTCCCTCCAAAATCCATACCAGAACCTTATCTGAGATAGGGGTCTGGTAAGGATTTTAAGGGGATGCACCAAAGAGAAATACAAAAAAGTGGGGTTTCCCACACGTCACATCAGAGTTCCCCCTTTACATCAAAACCCACTTTCACATCAGAGTCCTCAGTCCCCCCTTTTACATTAAAGTCCTACTACCACAACAGGGTCGCAGCTGAGGCAGAGGGCAGGAGGGGGAGCAAGCCTGAATAGAGGCAAACTTTTCTGAATGGATCCCACCCTTCTGAATTAGCATCATTCATTTTCATGGTGCTGGTGTCTGCCCTGCCCGCACCATGGATATACTAGGATATATTACTTTCGATACAACCATTGCATGTGCAAGAGAATTTTTTTTTTTTAATACAGCACACAAATTATGTTAAGACATTTGTTTTCTGTTTAATGCTCTTTTTTGATGCTAAGCACACCACACACAACTAGAAGTTGTGTTAGGGTGACAAAAATGTACTACCACCAATGTAGCAACAAGCCTTATGTGGTTAGATATAAACGTATTGTATTGTTTAGGTAGTCCATGTAATCCAATGTATTAATTAGAAGACAGTGGCATTGATTTACTAAAGGAATAGAAACTTTATACATAGCAAAGCGAATGTTTACTGAGCCAAGTGAATAATAATTAAGTTGAACCTGTGTTCACTTTGAATAGCCAATCATTTAGAAGATGAGATTTGCAAGTTCTTAAAGAATACATTAAAGGAGAACTATTGGGTTAGGGCTTTTCCCCATAGTTCTCCTTAGGGTAACGGGGGGACACAAACTAGCATCCTCCCGTCACCCTAAGCTCAGTATACCGCGAGCTACAGTTCGCGGTACACTGAGACGCCGCAGTATACTGCGTGCTGTAGCTTGCGGTATACTGAGACGCCGCAGCTGAAGCGGATCCCAACAATTATGTCTGGATCCGCCTAGCTGCATGAGTGACAGCTGGCTCTGCCTATCTAGAGGCAGAGCCAGCTGTACCCGCCCCCTACCCCGTCCGTTCCGCCAGTCAGCACTGGAGGATCGGAGCGGGAAGGGGGGAATCCAGCCACTCTCCTGTCACGGCAGAGAGCTGTGACAGGATCGAGAAGTGAGCGAACCCCGGTATGTGTTCGCTCACTTCCCGATCTACTGAGCCGACCTGTGACAGTCTCACAGGTATCTAGAGGCAGAGCCAGCTGTACCCGCCCCCTACCCCGTCCGTTCCGCCAGTCAGCACTGGAGGATCGGAGCGGGAAGGGGGGAATCCAGCCACTCCCCTGTCACGGCAGAAAGCTGTGACAGGATCGAGAAGTGAGCGAACGCCGGTATGTGTTCGCTCACTTCCCGATCTACTGAGCCGACCTGTGACAGTCTCATTGTCACAGGTCGGCTAGAACTATGAGGTGAGTGAAAAGCACTCACCTCATAGTTCTCCTTTAACTCTGAATTCTAATTCCACAAATCCCCTCAGTAGCAAACCCCAATATAACATTCCATACCTTGCTGTTAAGTACTGTATCATTATCTTTTAGACTGCACTGCCTGACCAGAAACAGTAAAAAAAAAGGGCTCAGCGCACTGGAACAGGGTTCCCAAGGAGGAGAGGTATTGGATGTTTTCGGCGTGCCTTCCTTGTATGCAAGGAAAGAAACACAAGCTGTAGAGATAATAAAAAGATGAGATAGGAGCGCAACAACCTTGTGCGTTATGTAAGTGACACCAGAGGACAGAAAACAGGGACGCCACTGATTACTTAATTGTTCCCCTTCCGCCTGCTGATCAGGCTAGCTCAAGAACAACCAGTGTACCTTCCATGGTCCCAGGCCATCTATACCCACCATTGCTGTGAGTGAATTTTATGCTTTTATTATAAAATCCTTTTCCTCTTTTGTTACACTACCAAGGGGCTCCTGTTCTTCTTTTCTTTTTTTTTTTGCTTTACTGTTTCATATTTTCCACAACATTTCCACTGACCTCTTAAGCTGATGATTGCCCCTGTGAAATCGAAAACATTTTTCCACTTCACAAGTAATGTTCTGTGTCAGACTCCCACAGCTGATGTATATGCTGGCCTTTACTGGTCTTTTGTGAGTGTATACATTACCCCTCTTTTCTGTCCTCTGGTGTCATTTAGATAATGCACAAGGTTGTTTCACTCCTTTCTTTTTATTATCTCTACTGCCTGACCAGAGCCATTGCAGCCTGCACTACATTCAGACCATATACAGACAAAAATGTAAGTGCTATAATAGTATAATGACAAAACAGGGGAGTTTTGTCATTAAGATCTATGGCAGTCCCCTCTCATCACCTGTTGCATGCAAAAGGTATTCTGCTCCAGATTTATCCTGAATGGAGGACAGGCTCCAGTGGCTCTGATTATGCAGAACTGCATAGGCAGCAAGTTGTGGGATGCTATTTGTTACTGTAAAATGTAACGTGTAAGCAGCTAACAGACCTCACTGGATAGCATAAGAATCGTTACCCAGTCTACTATTTATTTTCTATTGATTGCAGCAGGGCAGTGGGTGCAGGCCATATTTAAATACCTGCATAGGTTAAGCCCTGGGCATGCACCATGAACTAGTCTGCCACTAAAGTCCCATGAGACTTGTTCTGAGCTGTGGTAGTTGTGGCATTGGCTTTGGCCCACCAAGAGTGAACACTGTAGATCTTCTAAGGAAAGTCAGTCTACATCTCAACACAGAAGATTCCCATGAAAATCAAAAATAACCAGTTCACATGAGAATAGAGCATATGCTTTGGGTTTTGCCTACATAATGAGAGGTTGGGAAGAAGGAAAAAAAATGTAAATGATCCTTTTAGTGGTTATCACCTGGGAAGTGTGGTGGAGGGTCACAAATCAGCATTACTCCAGTGCCTTCCTTTACTTTTACTTCCGGGCGCTCCTCAGCAGGGAAAGGGTCAAGATCTGTGTTCAAATAAAATACATACAAATGAATGATGCCATTTTCTCCACTTATATAATGCAATATGTCACTACACAACTGGTGGATTGAATACGTCTCTTTTTAATGTTTCCCATTAAGCTGCCTGTGTTCCCACTAGGAATGTTTCTCTTCACATTATTGGGACACAAACAGCAATAAAACCCCTTTTTGCAGCAGTAAAGCAGCAAAGAGCATTTGTTAAAACAGACTTGATTTGCTGTGTATCCCAATTGGAAAGGCTCACTTAGTTTCATTAGGACAAGTCATAATTAATAGTTACCCCACCAAGAATCAGTCAGAAAAAAAAACAGAGATGATATATTCCCTTTTCTATTCACATTTAAAAAAGGCTTTATCTGAATTCCACCAAAGTCCACTTTTGTCCACGAAGACTGCTGTATGTGGCAACTCAAATTAGGTTCTGATAAGCTTCTGATACAGTACTTGGGAATAATGTCTTTTAGTTCTTTTATATGAGCCAACATGTGTGTTACGTTTTTTGTTCCTTTATGCCTTGTAAAGTAGTTTCAGCACACCTAACAAGACACTGTAGATGTCAGAGGAAGAGCCATGGCTGGATCCCCCCAACCCTCCCGCCAAACCCTCCCACCTAATGAAGAATGACAACCAGATGGCGGGGGCAGCAGTGTTGGTTTTAATTTTTTCTTTATTATTTTGTTATTTTTAACTATTTTTTACATTTGTATTTATCTTATTATCTTTAACTTTTTTATTTATAATTTTTAACTTTTTAAATTTTATTCGTATTTATCCTTTTTTACTTATTTTTTGATGTTTATTTCTTGTATTATTTTTTACTTTTTATCAATTTTTATTTTTTTTATTTTCACCTCACTTTATTGCTATTACACAGGAGCTAACATGCCCCTGTGTGATAGCATTTGGAGGTGACAGGTTATCTTTATTGAACCTGTCACATCTAATACAGGAGATTGAGCACAGCACTGTGCTGGAACTCCTGACAGCTGAGATGGGAAGGCTCTCCCATCTCAGTGTTTACATGGAGCAGAACAGAGAACAGATGTTCTCCGCACTGCTTTCAATCCTGAACTACCTTGCCGAGGTCCTAGGTCCCCCAGAAGAGTGGGGGACCCCGAAAACCACAGCGGAGAGGGAGATGGCCAGGAGGGAAAGAGGAATCAGAAGGTGAGAGTGGAACATGGCGGGGGGGAAACGGACCTACAGGATAATTACAAGTGATCTAAGCATCGCCTCGATCATTTGTACTAAATGAGCAGCAGCATTCCCGCTCTACATTTAGCCCTGCTTGCCCGAAGGAAGGCTAAATGTAGAAAAAATCTACATACCCTGCGGCTGAGCCTGCCCTCTACTCCCTGCCACCCCGAGGCCAGGCCTCGGTGGCCTTCTGGGAAATCAGACCCTGGGAGAGCAGACATATGCAAGGCAAAGCAATTCACTTTTTATGTCTTCCAGCACAGCAATAAATCATGGTCTGCACTGATAAAGATAAGGGTGAATGAATGTCAATTATGTGAAACTTTTCTGTGTCTGGAGAGAAAATTGAAGGGGTTATGTGTTATTATATATCAGTTCTGAGGCTGCAGTATACCTGCACTGGTGACCACTAAAAACGCACCAACATATTTTATCTCTTGTAAGCTAAGAACATAAACGTCTTAAAATACAATTGTGGAAAAAAATATCCCTTAATGCCAAGGTCAAGCGATCCTGTACAGCTGTCCCTTTCCTGCACCTTAGAATGCTTGCAGTAAGTTGCAACATGATGAAAAGAAGTTCCTATAGTTTTTGCTGGTTGCATAACCAGAGTTTCAACAAATGCAGAACACTGAACTCAAGAAAAGTATGTGGGAGTTTTTAATTTATGCTTTTTATTAAAAGCAATAATAACAGCCTTAATAAAATATGAATTCATAAATAAAAACAGTTATAAAAGATTGATTAAGCCTTAACTATGTGTTTTGTGCAGATACCATAGAGAATGTGTGCATGAATAAACATGAATATAGTTGAAATTAAAATATTGTCTAAATTATAATAAGTTCATGAAGAAATGTCATTAAATGAATACAAGAAGACGTATGCTAATGACTCAAATTAATACACAGTAAGTAAAATAACTCAAATAGATAACAGCCTAATATGAAGGCTTTAGGCGTTATGTGTTAAGCAAAGTGATATATAGTATATATAGGGAAGTAAACTCAGCACAGTTTTCTAATGAACGTCCATATGCTTTCAATGGTTTATTTTCAAAGGTCCATTTGGTGCTCTGGTCAACAATATCAGACTAATAAACCAGCAAGAGGAGTTTGGTCTCATACACAATAATCAAATAAGGCTGCTTGCCCTGCATTCCTGATTCACACTTACATGTCTATTCACTAAAGAGTGAAGAGCTTGGAGAAGGCAGAAGTGAACAATTTAGGACAACATAGCTGACCTGGAAAAATTCTCCAATTCAGCTCACTTTCCAGTTCAGCTATTTTGGCCTAGATTGTTCACTTCTCCTGCCTTCTCCAAATCCTATACCCTTTAGTGAATGGGCCTTTTGGTGATCCCTGACCCCTGGGGCATAAAAAAAGAGAGTGGATAGAGTCAAATGGACTAGTAAACACAAGTGTTCATCAAATTGTAGGCTTTGCACTAATGCCATGTTAAAAGGAATATGGATTGCAGCAGTGTCTGTGAAAGTTCCTGCTGAAGTCCTCATTCATGTATCTCCTAGGAAAGGGCAACAATGCAATGCAATGCAGAAATGCCTGTTTGTACGTGATCTTAGACTAGGGCTGCACTAGGGCTGTTCAGTTTTCAACAGTATGTTGTCATTTTGATAAACTGATTTTTGCAGCACGATTGCTTGTCCTGTATAAATATTCTCACCTCAAACCAGACAGACAAATGGGTATAATCTGACTGCAGAACAAGCTCTTTTTAAATTAACTTTCTATTAAACAGAAAGTATTGGGGTTTTTTCGTCTGTGCATATTTTGAGTTATTGCGGTGTTTACCCTAAGAAAATTTTAGGTATGCTTTTTTTTAACATTTGTACAAGCTAGCTCTATAGAGATTTGTAGAATCGCTGATGGAGGGAGCTCTTATTGGTTCAGTGCACTCACTCTCTCTATATATTACCAACTGCTGAGGAGAGATCATACACACAGCATTGTTTTCAATAAGTTGGCTCATAGTTCTGCTTTGTGGGATAGAGTAATGAAACAAAAATATAATGTAGCAATGGAAAGCAATAAGTAGTGTCTGTGCATGTGGGCTGCCCCCATGTATGTAAGAACTGGGCTTACTATAGGCCCCTATGCAAGTTTTTCTCTTGTTGATAAAAACATTTGTACAGTAGGACAGGACATTGCTGCCAGTGGTTAATGCAGTTTCACCAGTGAATCTAGAAAATATGATTTGCATAGACTGGTTATATACATATGACTTCGTTTTTACAAGCACAATCTAACTAAATCACTACCTATGGGAAAAGCTCCTGTAGCAGACATGGTATACATCAAGGCATTTCTATACATTGTGCAGAACAATGCTTGCATCCTGATAAGAAACCATATAGTGAAATGTTGCACGTTCCTCAGACTGTTGAGATAGATTTTTGAATGAAAAACGTTGCTGGCTACATTTGCATTCCAACAGGTAGAATATGAATTGGTCTGCGCCATGATGTAGATGTAAAAAATAGGTAGCACAAACTAAGCAAATGCTTAATATATTTTTTTAAACTGTATATATAGTATTTTACATTACAGTTACAGTTACAGTTTATAGTGCCTGCTTATGGTGGGAAGTGTATGTTACTAATTTTCAAAGCAAGGTGGCATTGTCATGGCAACTAGCTTCTGGGAGCAATGCCAATGACTTCAAACTGGTACTTATTTCATCACGTTCCTTAAATCTTATAGGGGATAGGAAAATAAGTGTTTTGGCATTCTCGGTAGCCATGCATACTACTGGCTGTGGCTGTACACTACTACTTCTAGTCACCCACACAGCGCACCAATAATTTATTATATAGAAAGACATATATGTGATGCCTAAAAACTGTGCACTATTAAATTGCAAAAGCAACCATTTTCTAGTACACCACTGAAAATAAATATTGATTATTATTATCATATAGAAAGATTAGCAGATAGACAAAACATTACAATTCAGCCTACTAGCTCCTTACCAGATTTGCACCTGAAAGTGTTTCTGCAGTTTAGGGTGCATAATACAGTTTCTCTTTTTTTTGTAAAAAGATGAAGTACTGTGCTAAGCCCCTTTCTCCTACTAGGCATTACTGTTTCATATAAATACAAGCACACTATTAACTGGCAAACAAGCTGATTTATTACAAAAGACTTGTACATTTGTGAGCCCTCTTGCTATAGAATCTATAGCCCATATATATACATCACCAACCTGGTAGGGTTCAAGACAGTAAGTGTGGGGGCACACACGTATTAACCAAAAAGTTAAAACAGAGACTAAAATAAAATTAGTTAAGCACTAACGGACTGGCAGATTATCACAGATATTTAAGTGCATGTGTAAAATTATCAAATATTATTTTGAAAGCTTGTTTTGCTAATCTCTAGAGAAAAAGACAGAAATACATACTGAAAAAGGCACGAAGATAAAGGCAAGAGAAAAAACAAATAGTAACTTGTGGATATTCTGTCAACAATAACTAGTACAGCTACTAAAACCAGCAAAGGTGCTATAGCACAAATGATTTAGGCGATACAGCAACATGGATATAGAAAGACTGATAGTCAAACAAACAATGTGGTGTGCTTAGCATTTTTTACCCTACTGTTTTTAGATGCTTGACAGTAGAACGTATACATACATCCAAAGTTGAGTCTGGCTTCATGGCTTCTGATTGTTCCATATTCATTGGTGACTATACAGACATATATCCCAGTATCTCTTGATTTATCTGGATTGTTGATTAGTAGATTACCTCCAATCATACTGTAGCGTAGATTTAGAAGATCAATATCCCAGTTATTTAGTCTCCACCTGAAACATAAATGTTTTAATCTTAAACAATAAAGTCCATATTAACTAAAGGAAATAAACACTTTCAGAGGAAAGGGTGACACATGCTTTAAACAATTCATATGCTTCCTTTTTTAATAAATCATTTTTAATTACATCCATCTTATAACAGAAGTGCCATTTTAGAATCCCAGAAGAGATACACTAGGGTTTCTTGTGCAGATTAGAAACAAAGGCACCGGCCATGGGAATCAGCTGCTGTTTGTTTTTCTCTCTCCATCCTCTACCCACATTGAATGTCTCTGTAGTTCAGTAAATAAAGTAGCCCAAGTCTATCTGCACTTCTACAAAATGCAGATGTATATGCTTAGAAATGTGCCTTAGTTTTAGGCTTTTACTTCTTTAAAGGGGACTTTACAATTCACTGCATAACTTTCTGCATTACCCTAACTTTAACCCTTTTACTTTGAAATGATGGCACAACACATTTTACAGTAGAAGCAGTAACAACATACCTGGACCACATTTAACATTTTATGTAAATGTTTTTCTACCTTTGCAACTTTACAAAATAACATTGAACGTCCCTTATCAATAATATATGCAAAACGTTTGTAGCAGTTACTCACGTTCAACAGAACACAAATGAAGTTAAATTTGACTATTACTAGTTATGCTATGACCCGGGTAACTGAAATTCTTCATAGACATATTTGCAAGATGACTTTGGTATATTCTAGTAGTAAATTAGATTACTTAAACTTTACTTGCTTAAGGTAAAACAGACTGGGCCTCATTAAGATACTTCAATAATAATATCTGGCCCAATTTACTTTAAGTACCCAAAACCCATAACGCTGTTGTCCGGCAGGCTACTCACTGCTGTTCGGTCTATTCTTATAGATGCCGAAAAGCAGTGAGTGAATAGCCGAATGCCGCTGAGCGGCATTCGTCTCAGCTGTTCTGCTCGGTCCCTCTGTGGTACCGAGCAGAACAGAAAAATAGTTTAAAAAGTAGAAAAAAATAAATAGAAAACGATCGTGTAGAGCTAGCAGTGACAGCTAGCTCCGCCCCAACTGTTTTCTATTGGCCGGCAGTTCTGCTGCCGTCAAAAAAAGCTGTGTCAGAATAGAAAAAAAAAAAAAATTTGCCATAGGAATGCATTGCTAGATTTCTATTGGCTATTTCAATTTGCAATAGCCAATAGCAAACTAGCTATTGTACCCGCCCTCTGCTGCTGTCAATCAGTAGTGGTGGACCTGATGGAGAACTGCAGCAGAGGGCGGGTGCAATGCTAGTTTG